CCCCCCCCCCCCCCCCACATTTTGTTATCTTGCAAGCTAAAATGCTTTCAATATTTTTTCTCACATCTATACTCCATGCTCCAAACCAAAAAAAAAAAAACACACACACATTTGCAAGTTTATTTAAAAGGACAAAAACTGAAATATCACATTGACACAGGTTAAGTATTCAGACTCTTTGCTGTGGCACCTGAAATTTAGTTTAGGTGCATTCCATTTCTCTGGATCATCTTTTAGATGATTCGTTTTAGCATAACGATGCAACATAACAAAATGTGACAACAAAATATATAATTATAAATATATGACCATAATTATATTATTAGATAATGAAATGTATAAGGTATGAATTCTTTTTGAATGTTGTATAACTTTACAAAGGGTAGATGCTCTATTCATACTTTGTGAAAGGTTCAGCTTTACAATCATTTGTCATTCAGTAATAAACTACTCAAAGTGCAGCTAAAGACTTTCTTAAATAAAAGAGCTGAACAATTTTTGACTGATGTCAAAATGGTTACAGGGCACTAATGAAGAAAGCTTCGGGTGACCTGATGTTCTATGTTCAATCATCAACTGTACCTGTCGCTGGGGGGGAAGAAAGGTGGTGGCAATTATCAGGGCTTTCGGGGGGCCCCTGCGATTTCAACAAAGAGGATCAGAAAGTCATTTAATCTGCCCTGCAACCTGATAGGCCAGCTTCAGTGGCAGTAACTCACTATAGACCTTATGTAGCCCCACCCCTTTTCAAAACTGTGCTCATTGTCTTTTGTCTTCCAGTATATATTTCCACAGCATGAAGGTAAGATCTTACAGATTTATGAATTGGCCCAACTGACATTTGTTATGACATCCGCTTCAAACATTACAATGCTCATCACAACTTTCCACAACTTTCTAAAGATAAGGTGAATACTTAACTATGGGGAAGTCTTGCACATAATTCTTTCAGTGTGCTTTTGTCACTGAAATCGATTGAGATGCCCAATCTTCAAATCTAAGGTATTTCAGGTATGGCTTGAAAAACTTCACCCATGTTAGGTCATTAAAAATAACATTTAGAAAACAACACAAATTGCCAAGATTTACTAGCTTGCACAATGTGAGGTATATTAAACCCTGACGATTTAAATGTTAATCATCCCTGAAAATACTCATTTGGTTTTGTTAAAAAAAAAAATCTCTGTTATCTTCTGATTAAAAAGAGAATAAACCTGGAATTGTTGGAAGAGTGTGAGATTCTTCACAGTAGATATGTTTTTTGGTATTTTGTTTGTATGAGATTATATATAGTCATTATATCATTGTTAAATAACTCCCTACAGTTTGACCAGGTCCCGACGTACCCGATCAGGACCCCTTGAAGGGGTTAATTTTGTGACAATGCCTGAGTGGCTGTATATGATTCTACTTATTAAACAGTTACCAAATAAATAAATCGATGGAAATTAAATATATATTTAGTGATACAATGGTCGGGCTATGCGGGGGCTTCAGGAATGACTCCCTTCCTCTCGGTTTTTCATTCACTACGCTGATTTCTAACGATTCACAGTCCCCATTCTTGCCCTCCTCTCCCTCCATCTCTTCTTCTCCGTCCTCCAGCTTTTGCTCTGCTGCTGTCAAGCTTCCGAACAGCCCAGCGATACAACTGTAGTTTCTGGGGATGCAGTTCTTGGGAGGCAGCATTACCACAGCAGCCTCGGCTTCCATACAAGTGTCTGCAAAATCCTTTGAGAATGTTTCAGTCGAGGTCTGATGTTAAGTGTCCTTCCGCATTGTAGCTACGTGAAGCTATGGTTGATGGTAGTGCGGATATCTGAACCAATCTTTGTCGAGATGCTGCTGCCGGCTGAATCCTACTATGGCAAAGCTTTAGGTTATGAATATTAATTAGGCCAAGCTGACGTTTCTTGCCAACCTTCCTCAATTGCGAGAAACATAATTAATATTCATAAGCCAATGTAAGCGTATTCGTCAGCTGACTAGCATTCATTACCAACGTCTTCCTTTCAGCAAATCAACTGAAACTGAACGGCGTGTTTCAATAGCCTAATTAATATTCATAAGCACCTCCCTCATCGTACTTGAACTCTCTGCCAGTTTAGACACACCTCCTTAGCCACAAGCAGTTCGTGCGCTGGATCACGTCTCACAGTAGATAAACACCGCAATAACAATTCAGCGTAAACTTTCTTTAAAAAAAAAGATGATGCCTATTATCAATAAAGTGCCTGTATGTCTGCTCATCGTTATTCATTTTGCAAAGCCTATGCAATTAGACAGAGGGATTCGTGCGACTGGCTTTATTGCTAAATTGACCTGTTAATTTTTCACAAAATTAAGAAAATGAAGCATGCAATAAGTAAATTAATAATCATTCTTTCGTGAATGCCTTAACTGGAAAGACCAAATAATAAATTACCCAAACTACCACAGTGTAATCTAGACTACTATTTAATTTTTAAGACTTTTAATTTTTTAATATATTGTTTCATTAGCTACCCCACTTACAGCAAGTGTACAAAAACACCCGTTGCATTAATGCCGACATTACGGATCATCTTTTTCCACAACGTAATCCTATCCCACGGTTGTCAAGACAACAGGACTCTAAACATCCATTCGCGCATTTTACTTAACAGAAATGCAGTAGGGTACCAGTTTATGCCTCTATACTTATTTTTATTGCCCAGCAGTAGGCTGCCACGTTTAAGATGTTAGTGTTGTCAAAACTAACGTAAGTTGTTTAGGCTACTTTGCATGTTTGTTATTCATATGATTAATGTATTTACGCATACATGTGTTTGCTATGTTTCATGCAGTCTTTCAATAGGCTAGTTAATTAGGGTGTTATTAAACATGTTTTCTTAACTACGGATGTGACCGGACAACTTGAGAGCTAACTTGTAAAACATTTTTTTTTCTTTTTTCTTTTTTTTTACATAAATCTCTTTTGTTGTTGTTGCTGTGGCTGTGACTGAAGCAGTCCGGAATGAATAGCACTGAAGTCCGAGCATCAGACTATAGGCCTACTGATGCTGAGAAACAGCATACGACTACTGACAGCACAAAAACGAACACAGAGTCTTCGGGCAGACAGTATGTCAATATGTTGTTGGATCTCAGCGAAGAGGATTGTTGCAGGGAGCACAACATAAGTTTGCTTCAGAGCTGCACTGGCTGGGAAGATGCTGTGAGTCATGTTTGTTATCAAAAAAACACATCGGAAAAAGAAACACATATTCTGACAATGCTTTCCCCTGAACTAACTGATCTATCCATTGATATTACTGTATCATTTATGTTTATCAGTCATTGTCCATTTTGTATCACTATTTTGTCATTAATTGTAGCTAAACAATACATTAGTTTGGGAATTATACATTATTATTATTATTATCCACTGATCTATAATAAGGAATTTATATTATTATTATTATTATTATTATATAAATAGATTAGTGTTATGAACCCTATACTCTATAAGGGATTGAATGAGGTACACACAAATAATTACAAATGGGTTTAAACAGTTAAACAAAATTTAAACAAAAGATCATCAATTTGTAATTGTTTGCTTGTGTCCCTCCCTAGGTCCCTCATACATCTCACTGTATTAACAGTACAACTGTAGTTTGGCTGCATTAGTGTATCAGTGCATTATTTAACTTTCCAAAAATTTTTAAGATTGTAATTGTTTTCATTCATTATTTTGTTGTTTGTATATCCATAATTTCATAAAACTTATGCTTTTTTAAAGATCATTATTTTGTGTATTTGGTGTAACAGAATATGTTGACATGCTTTAATGTTCAAAAAACACATTATTTTTCAAATACTGTACATTATTGTAGGTCCTCTATGCCCCGCCTCTCTCAAACACGTCGTTTTCTACAAAGTCCCTCCTTCCGACAAGCGCAGTCTGCTCTGATTGGCCGGCTGACACAGTGCATTGTGATTGGCCGAACACCGCAAAAGCACTTGTTGGAAATGTAACGCCCCTTACCATAATCGCGAGCTTCAGCTTTCAAAATAAATGTAAAGACAGTAAATAATGTCATTAGTTTTACCATCAGTTCAAGCCCGAAAGGGGAACAGAGTCGTGGGACAGACAGTACACAAGCAGCGGTTAAGACAGCTGACTACTGTGATGTGAC